AGCTTTTTCCTTCCAGACTTTCAACAGGATATATGGTTCAAATTCAACAGAATACAGGATTGTCTAACAGCGGAATGAGGAAACTTGGATCGTTCATCAATCATATCAGCCCAACAAGATTAGTTGAACCAAACTTTCAAAAAAAGTTTGCTGAGTCTGGACAAAAATTGCAGGACTTTTTTACTGTCAGCAGCTTGAAGATTTCTGATTCTGGAGAAAACAGGGTTGTGGTTTATTGCAAAAGCATTAAGGACTTAACAGTCAGGATTGAAGAAGAAATTGGCTCCTCAAAGACTTCCTTTGCAAAGATAGGTATTGATGGAGGAGGGTCATTCTTGAAAGTGAGCATCGGAGTTATTGATGAGGAAGAAAACAACCTAGAGCCCCACAGTCCTGTCCAAAAATCTACCATACTCACAACACAAGTCTCAAAGCAAACTAGTGTGAAAAAGCAATTTCTTGTGGCTGTTGCTGATGACACTCCTGGAAATTATTGGAATGTGCAAGAGATTTTTTGACTCATCAAGCTTCAAGAACTAATTCCATCAGAAGCTGCAGTAATTTCTTGCAATATGAAACTTGCAAGCATTATTTGTGGCATCCAGTCTCATAGCAGCAAGCATCCTTGCTGTTGGTGTGATATTGAGTCTTCAAAGCTTCTTCTGTGTGGGAATCCCCGATCCTTTGGAGCTATAAGAGCTCAACATCAAATCTTTGTGGGTAGTGGCGGAGATGTAAGAAGATCCAAGGAGTTCCAAAATGCTGTCCACAGTCCTTTAATCTTTGGTCCTGATCAAACACTGATTTTGGAGTTCATCCCATCTATGGAGCTTCATCTTCTGCTAGTAGTGGTCAACCATCTGTTCAAATGCTTAGTGCAAAAATGGCCAAAGGCCACAGATTGGCCAACTTCATTGCACATCAAGATTCAGCCTTTTCATGGAGGGCACTTCAATGGCAATGACTGCATGAAGCTTCTGACAAATTGGCCGAAATGGCTGAAAATGAGAGCACTTCTGAGCCATCTCAATTCATTCAGACATTCAAAGACTTTCATGAAGTTGTCTCTGCATGCTTTGGAAAAACTTTACATCCCAACTATGAGGAAAAAATTACCATCTTCAAAAACAATTACATGAGTTTGGGAATCTCTGTTACTCCAAAGGTTCACACTGTTTTCCACCATGTGACACAGTTCATCAAGCTGAAAAAGAAAAGCCTTGGTCTATACAGTGAACAAGCCACTGAAGCACTGCATTCGGATTTTGGCAAGCATTGGGAGCGATACATAAGATTGAACACCCATCCAGACTACTCCAGTCAACTCCTGAAGTGTGTCATTGATTATAACAACAAGAAAATGTAAAGTAGCTTGCTATGAGGCACTGACCATCAATGAGCATGTTGCATTTTTGAGAATTTATTAGTTTATCTTTAGAATGTATTTATTTTGTAATAAATAAATGTTTTAAGATGTATTTTTATTATTTGTTACCTTTTTACTTCATAATATGGTAATTTAGGGCAGCCAAATATTTTTGAAGGAATTTTGCAATTTTCCAGGTTTCGTAATTTAAAAGCAAAAACATATAAGAATAAGTCTTGCGGACGGTAATCCCGGATTTCAAAATTACTTGTTATGAGATCCCTATGATATATATTAAAACCCCTCAAAAGGGTTTTCATAGGAGTTGTTTTTGGTATTAGGTCCAAAATTTTCAAACTGTGATCTTCAATGTCACAGGAAAAAAATTAGCAAAACTGCTGATAAAAAAAGCAACCACCTGATCAATTTATTATAATGATGAATTTGCAAGCAAAAGGGCTAGAAAAATTGATTTGAATTGATGTATATGTATATATATATATATATATATATATATATATATATATATATATATATATATATATATATATATATATATATATATATATATATATATATATATATATATATACATATATATATATATATATATATATATATATATATATATATATATATATATATATATATATATATATATATATATATATATATATATATATATATATATATATATATATACAGGGGTTATTCTAGGAAATTATTTTCAACAGTAGTACCCCCGTCCTAGCGATATTTAAAGGAAATGTTGCTGAATCTAGGCCTCAATTTCGAATTTGGGTGGTGCCCAAATATGGTTAAAATCTTCTATTTAAGGGTATATAACATTATCTCCAAATTAATATCAATAGTAGTCATGAAAAAATAAATCACTGTGTCCACTTTCATTCAGAGGTATACAACATTGTCTGGACATAAATGGACACTACTATAAAATTGATAAAATAATATGATGTCCTATACCTCCAAGTTACATATATATATATATATATATATATATATATATATATATATATATATATATATATATATATATATATATATATATATATATATATATATAATCCTATATATATATATATATATATATATATATATATATATATATATATATATATATATATATATATATATATATATATATATATATATATATATATATATATAGGGTTGGCCAGGAAGGCGTGCTATTTCACGTCATAATATGACCACGCAAGTATGATTTGATTTTACTGAACTTGACTTAGGCTGTTAATATGTTTTGAAAATTTTTATACATTAAATAATCCCAAATATAAAAATACTTAAAAAAAAACTTATCCTAAAAGAAGCAAATAAATCAAATAAAATGGTAAAAAAAAAAAAAAATAACAAAAAACTAAATAAAAATAACTTAGCTAAAACTAAAATAGCAGAAGCTTAAGTAAAATAAATAATAAACTATAACGATAAGATGATCTTATTAAGGAGACCTTTGCTGTTTAAAGTCGTTGCTTATAAAGTTAAATTTTTTTTTTTGAGCTTTTATTTTTTTTGAGCTTTTATTTATAAAAAAATCTTATATAATAAAATAATATAAATAAAAAGTTATACAACTTTCAACGATAATTTAGTTAAAATAGTTAGCTACTTTATTTAAAAGTGTTTTGGTAATATAAAAATGTTAGTAAAGATAAACTTGTCAAAGTTATTTATTTTTAACATAATTAAAAACAAATTTTTTTAGCACATTTATTAAAGACCGTGGTTAAATCATCAAAACAAAATATTGTTTGCGTGGTAATCTAAAGACTTGAAATAGCACTCCTTCCTGGCCAAGCCTATATATATATATATATATATATATATAATATATATATATATATATATATATATATATATATATATATATATATATATATATATATATATATATATATATCAATCCTTGAAATTAGGACCTAACTGCCAACCTGAAAATGTTTGAGGTCGGCAAAAAATTGTAAATTAGTAAAAACATTCATCCAATTTCAACTACTGTCCAGTGCTCAAGGCTTTTTGCCTTTAAATTTTAAAAATTCCTTTTTGTTCATCAAATACTTTTATGAAAAATTGTGAAAACTGTTTGCTGAATTATTTTATTTAGAGTTTGAATAAAACTTTCATTTTGCCATTTTTATTTTGAGTATCTTATTTAGAATTAAAATAAAACCTTTATTTCATTTTTTTTAAAG